AAACACGGTCTAAACTCGTATGCTGTAAACTAGCGCAGGGAATGAATGAATATTTTTTTTATTTAGACTACTGTTTTCGTTGCACTGCATTAATAATTTTATTAGTTACTACTTACTATCACTAAATAATACGCATAATGTTGACATTTATGCTCAGAGCTGCGTACGTGACCAATTGCATTGGGGAAAATTTCAAAGTAATCAGATGTAAGAATGGCTAAATATAGAGCATACGGAATGTCAGAATATATTGTAACGAATAGTAAACGGATAGTAAAATGATTTGGATAACCCTTATTTTGTATCCATTAACGAATATCCGAATAGTAGTTTCAACACTATTAAGTGTTATGGTTTAAACAATATTTTATTCATAAAATATCATATAATACATTACAGTTTTAAAGATATGATACAAAAACTAGCTAAAACCTTATATAAATTTGCTTCATATATGTTTATGTTATTTACTTTTGATATTTCAAGAATATGATAATGTACTTGTTTCTTGACGATGAAAGTTCAATTCAGCAATGTAAATTAATAAGATAAATAAATGAGTAACAAGCCGTTCTAACCACCACACTAACTAACTAAATTACATTAGATAATAGATATAGGATTACATGTCATTTCGGTCCCGCGTCATTTCAGACTTACGACATTTCAGACTCCAAAATATATGACCTCGGCGTTTCGGACTCGGGTAGGTGACATTTCGGACTCGGGTAGGTGACATTTCGGACTCGGGTAGGTGACATTTCGGACTCGGGGAATAAGTTGAGAAGAAAGGTTGAACACAACTGTCAAATCAATCTATAATAAATCAAAAGCGATTTTATAAAAAACAACATGCAGGTAAAATTTACCGCTCGCAATCAAGTACAGCACGTGGAATCGTGGATCACGCAGGAACTGCAAATTTTTCAATGTTGAATGTTTATGAAAAGAATGTTTTATTTCTTTATATCTGTAACATGTATATAAAAAGTAGCCGATGAATTTATTAGAAATTGGCCAATTCAAAACACGAAAGAAAATATTAACATGAAACACGAGGTTATTAACAGACTCTATCAAACGATAAAATATTTGAAATGGCATAGTGGGTAATTAAAGCTAATTAACTGATAATCCCTATGTTATTGTATTATGTGCAAAGAAACCTAACAGTTCTTTGGTGGATGATGAAAAACATGAGTTGTTAATCAGCGATAATGACGGCCGTGTGTTGATTCGATTATTACGACTCACGTAAAAGACATTTAGGCTTTCACAATTATAAAAACATTACTAAATATACAAAAATTTCAACAATATTGTATTCTCAAGTTCAACACTCGCCGATGAAACAAACCAAATAGAACAAGCCGTGTAAAATCGGTGTTATCTTTTTATTAGCGGTCTCAAGAATCGCCGATCAACACAAATGTTTAACAGTCTTTTAATTATTCATCCGAGTCTGAAATGTCGCCAGACTGAGTCCGAAAATTCGTCGAGTAAAGTCTGAACAGTCGTCAAACTGAGTCCGAAAGGTCGTCTGTGTTGAGTTCGAAATAACGCGAGACCGAAATGACGTGCTACCAGATATTTTACAGTTAAAGTTGAAGAGTAATTATTGATTATTTATTCCAGTCGTTAGCAAAAATGATTTTCTATGTGTCAAAACGTTTTGTTAGTTTTAAATAATCATGAACTATCTGGAATATATTTTCGTTTACATCATATTCGGTTAATATCGCAACTACTTAGTCAGCTTATTGATCGTTTAACATAGGGGTTTCTTTTCTTACTTTTGTATATTGTTACCAAATTGTGTCACAACCCTTTGATCTAATTGTTTTAAGGTATGGTTTCCATTTTTGTTGTTAAGACATCCTCACTGGCCATGGACTATAAGTTAATTAACTCTCTATCTGCTATTGTATATCTTAATAAGTGTTGGTGTAGGCCTTTGATCATGTTGTTGCTATGTATGGTTTCGGTTATGTTGTTGTATTTTGTCTATATATATTTGCCTCATACCTGTTTTACTGTATTAGCTTGATAACGTTGAGAGAATACTCTACGAAACGTCGCCTTAAATACACTAGTAGCTGTTTTCCATAAGTATGTGTTTTGTTGTTACTAGCGATGCTAAACGCCGCTAGGAGCGCTGGCTGTACTATTTACAGACATCACAAAAAGTTGACCGAGAAAAGTATACGTCGTGTTACGCCTTGTCATGAATATTCAAAGTGTCAAACATTGACCACGTGATGTTTACCATCGAGAAAAATAGATGAACTTGCTGTCGAGTAGGATTTTGAGAAGCTGAGGTAAGATTTTCTGATATTTTTCATGAATTGAAAATTTGAAGTTGAGAGAAATTTTCGAAAAAGGCCCTCGACGCTCAAGATTTTGGTATATTTGGAAAGCCCAATTCATTAACTACTTAGTTTGACCATTTGTTAAGTCCGTATCCCCCGTAGGAATTCGTAAAATGGCTGAAATTGAACCATGTGGACTTAAAGGGAGGTAACTCGTGGTTGATCAGGGTTCAGACCATAATTAACCCCCCCCCCCCCACAGACTTCAGTGTAAAAAAAATGATGTTAGATTTGGACAGGTTTTTTTTATTATATTGAATGTTACTAAAGCTACCAACCAAACTTTAGCCAGACATTTCACTAACAAAGGATAAAAATTGTGAATGTTGTTGACCACCTTGGATTTTTTTTTCAGGAACTGTAGCTGAAGAAGTAAGCTACATAATACTCATCCAAATCCAAACATAGCCAAAGGCGATCCCTGATATTACTTGGTACAACATAAAATAGACAAATGATGATGATATATAGGCCTACTCATACAATTTGCATGAGGACTATAAAAAGGGGGGCTTGAAACTGACTGTTTCTCAGCATTCTCAAGAAAGTCCATAATTATTATAAATTTGGTATGAATCATAGAAGTTAGTTTAATTTATTGTTTGAAATCAGTGTTAGTAATCTTATTTTTGTTATTTCAATATTTGTGATAATATTTATTTTATTTTTAACATTTTCTACCTGAAAGAAGTGGCCTGATGCGTCAAATGTTTTTGTTTATTTTGAAAAATATCGCATATGAATAATGTGATTATTTTATATTGTTATTATTGTTTGTTTTTGTAAGATACATGTATTAGAAATCTTATATTTGTTGATAAATGTGATAATGGTTTCTTTTTTTTTATCATTTATTTTAAACCGGTGGGTGAACATTTTTAATTTCATATTAAAAAGTAACAGATATGAATTTTGATCTTATTGTGATTTTGTTTTTAATATTTTTATATTTTTATGACATAGATAATGTCTCGGCAAGATGTATCACCATCTGAATGTTTATATTGTTTTTATTTTCATGGGATAATGTCTCAACAAGAAAGCTAGACTTCTACCACTGATATTATAATATAGTATATCGTAATGCACATGTATCACAAATTAATTTTTTTAATACTCTTTCATGTAGATTATATCTTACTTTTTATAAGCTTACCTTTTAATTTGGACTCTTTTAAGATATTCAAATGTTTTAATTATGTCTATTAATTATGTCTGTTTTTATTTGAAATTGTAGTGATGTTGATCACAAAAATATAGCTGTTATATAAATCATAGTTTAATTGTTAATTTTCATTCCTGAAACAAACAATTTCAAATTGATGTACATGGCAGCTTCTAAACAACTAAAGCAGTTGGCGTGGCAAAAGAGGCAAATCTGCCAAAAGCTTACAGGTTTATTTCTCATTTTGCCACACACTTTCATGATTTTTAAAAATATCCACAGTATACGTTAGTATAACCGGTTTATAATTGTTGTATGACTGTGAATGGCCAGTGGTCAATGGCCTCGGAACCAGTAGGTGCCCAATTACATACATAAACTTGTTTCTCTTCGACATTGACATCATACAGTCAAAAATTGTGATTTAAGGTGTTGTCATGCAAAAAATAAATAACAGAACAGACTGAAAACACTTTTATGTGTGCTTATTCATTAAAAAATAAGCCTCTGTATTAATGTCAAAGCGCTACAATTTAAGTACACACAAATTTGAAAAATTTTTTGCTGTGATTTGTGCGAAATCGGCACGGATCCCAACTTTGAACCTCTGTAACATAAAAAGTATATACTAGAATATTATAGCGACAATTTGGCTTTATCAAGTACATCTAGATCTTTAATTAGTGCAATTTTCATAGACCTATCTTGTATAGTTACTGAGATATTGGCTTCGGTCACTTTTTTGCGGTTTTTAAAAAAAGCCGTTTTTTAGCGCCTCTGGTTTGCCTTCTTTAAAACGCTATAACTTTTTTAATTTTCAATATTTTTTCGAAATTTTTTCAGATTATTCATTCTAGATAGTTCACAATTGCAGTATCGTTGTCATTTTTGAGTCAATGGTTGTATCTGAAAACCCGTTGGCAATGCTATTGTTACCCTATCCAGTTACTAAATGCCATTTAAAGAACATCAGTGATGTTATGTGTCCCGAAAGTAAACTATGTCGTTTGGACGTCTTTACCAACATATTATATCCCAAAATTAAACTAAGTTGTGTGGACGACTCCACCAACGCGTGTGGATGACTTAGCCAAATTTTTCATGTGGACGACTTTGCTTGTGGACGACTTGACTGGCATTCGGCCTATCACGGAACCAGCCGTTGAACAAGGCCATTTTTCAATGCTGTATAGTGTATAATTATTAGATTAAAACAATCATTGTCAGCATATCATCGTTTAATTTTTTTGTAGCTATCTACCTAGGCCTACCGTACATTAAAGTACATACTCATGACAATGTAGCCTACATGTACATGTAGTTAATGTATCGGTTGACTATCTAAACACTCAATGAAATGCATCAAATCGTGCCTATTTAAATTTAACGAAACTAACATAAACAATTAGGCTATTCCAGAATTTGACCAATGGACAGAATCATTACATTTAGTCCTCACTACTTACTTTTTCAATTCTGGGGGATGTGCTTTACTCATGCTGATTGGAATGGATTAATCTCGCCAATCTGAAAACCGAAATTCACGTCTATTTGTCGCAACCGGAAATCGCCTTTGTTTACCTGCACCGAAGAAAGCAATTTTGCAATTTTGATAAATGTAATCCATCTGTTCAATTAAAAGTTTTTGAAATATATATACATATTACTACATTTCTTTTTTTAACGTGTTAATAAATATTTTTTTACATATCAATGAATAGTGTAAATATTTTTATTATAGCAGAAAATAAAATCGTCATCAATTTATGTGCACAGGAAGTGCCCGCCATTTTGGCTTTATTTGGTTAAAAATACGGAAAAATGGAAAAAATGTTAGACTAGTCTTGAAATAATATTTTCGTTGTTACAGCACTCGTTATCTACATCTTCAGTCAAGTTCAACATCAAAGAAACGAGGTTTAAATGTAGGTAAATTATTTAACAAACGTTGAAACAGCTTGTGGATTAGATCTACAATCGAGCCTTAAAGTTAAACTTAATCCTTATCCTACTACGTTACTGTTGTAGGCCTATACTAATATAGTCAGTGTTATAGCTATGTGACAAAAAAAATTAAAGTCAATGGCTCAATGGATTTCAATGCAAATACCCCTATTAGAAAGCCTTTGGCAGGTCATTCCAATGACACCAAAATCACCTTTCTCTGATAAATATCCTTTCTCTGATAAATACTAAAATAGCAAGAAAGTTAGAGCAATTTAAATGTTACATAATAGTCATAATTAGTCATTAACGCGTAAATTAATTTAGTAATTACTAAACGCGACCCAGCCTGAGTGTAACTTACTGTAAGTGTTGTGTTGTTCAGTGTTGTCGTCGTACTGGATGATGATGATAGTCGAAGAGTAACTTAGTAAGCCTACATGTAGTAATAGTAATAATTGATTCCACAACTATAATAGACTATTCAAAAGCCTTTAATTTGTATTAGTTATGTTCTATAGCTTGACAGTTAAAATCAATTTCAGTGTTCACAATAAATTTTTTTGTTGTTCCAGTAGCTAAGTCTCTAACTCAATATCATCCAAAATCTTCAACATTGAAAACATGATTTATTTGTCAAATTAAATCAACATTCATGTTGTGATCTTACCGGGAAAAGATGGGCTTTTGATATCCAATATTTAAGACAAAATAAACATTTTACCATTGGTACACGAATCGTGTACCATAATGCGCTTCAGCCCCAGTTGCATGAAGAGACTCGAGGGACGAGGCTAGACACATTGCACCAAATCAAACAGCGTATGTAGACTGGAATGACCAGACGCTAGAAATTTACGCTCGCTTGAGACTGCTGGCTTATTTCGCCGAACATAACTGATTTAAAATTGGAGTAAAAACAGAAACGATTGAATGTAAATCAGTCTATATACATTCATATTACAGTATTGTATGCGTTGCGACCCACTTTTGTCAACTTCTAGGTCCCAAATGTTAGCGATTTAGCTCCTTTAAATCTAAGTAAAAATGTAAACAACAGCATTTTAAATATAAACAACCCACATGTGATGTGGCATCTACATTAACGCTCAGTACATCACGTGCAAGCAAACATTGAAAGTTGTTTCGGGAAGTTGATTGTCGATGGAACTCGCTATTCGAAAATACATGAATACTCACAATTTTTTAGGACCCAACTAAAATATGTCCTTGATAGAATGCATGTAGGTGACATGTCAGACTCAGGTAGAATGTGACATTTCAGACTACGGTAGTCAATCTTATTAAAACACAGATCCTATTTCGTTTTGTTTTTTATAGTTTAAAATTTCGTTTTACTTGTCTTTACTACACTAGGTTCTGGAAGAATTGTTATATAACCTGCGTTCTGGTTAATGTGATGGATTAGCCAATGAATCGGTCTGTTGCAGCGAGTTCTTGACGTGCTATGCACGGAACTGTGGGTATCCTACTAGAGTAGAAACATCAAAGCTGATTGGTTAATCAAATGAATGTCTGACATCATAGATCAAAAGCCGCTTGTATGACCCCTGAAGCGCCCCCCCCCCCCCCCCCCCCCCCCCTACTGCAACTGGTCGGATCTTCATGTTGTAGAGGCCATCGAAAGTATAAAAAACGAAACGAAATATAGATCTGTATTTTAATTAGATTGAAAGGTAGTTGACATTTCAGACTCTGGTCTATGACAATTGAGACTCAAGAATCAGTGGATAGGAAAAGTTGAACACTAAAGTCAAATCAATTTATATTAACCCACTTTTATTTGAAAGAATAATAATTTAAAAAAACTCAGTATAAAAGATAACAACTATGCACAAATTACTTAGACATATTATAGGAAGTTATATTGTGTAATCAACATCCCCACGTTTTCAATAATCATTACCTGATTAAATATAACAAAAAGCAAGTAATAACGTTTTTATTCCTTTATCAGTTTCAGTAATCGCAGATCAATTAAATAAAACAAAAGGCAAGTAGCAGTGTTTTTATTTCTTAATCTTTTTTTTTTTTAAACGGTTTCAGTGAGTTATCTTAACTAATTGCTTACAAATTAAATAAAGAAAAGACAACCCACTTTAAACTGTCCCCAGTCCCGCCTAACAATAAAAATAAGACCCTTAGTATTACTAACATACACAAATTTTGTATTGTCAACCGAGTCCGAAACCTTGTTAATAATATTGAGTCCAAATCATTGTTTGTGTGGAGTTCGAAAGGTCGTCAGACCAAAACGTTGTGATACGTGTATCTATGTTCAGTACTATAAACGTGTAAGTTTATTACACACATTAATACTAGTGCATACATTTGTTATGTATTTGATAATATTTATTCCTTTTTGTGAACAATTTTCAAGGAACTTTACGGAATATATGTTAGAACCAAAAAAACAGAACCCACAAATGGGATGATGATGACATTTTTAGACATTGATACCCATGCTGTGCACTTTGTTGAGTGTAAGATCCTCAGTAACACATCCTATACCCCAATAAACATTATTTTTGCTGTTTACATGTCCTGACAGCAGAATTTGTGTAGCACTATCGCCGTTGTGACATTTTTTTTTAATTTATAGACAAGGAATAGAGAAATAAGATGACTTTATATTTCATTAATTAATATTTTTGGCAAGTTAGTAATTTCAAACATATTCACATATGTAGTGTGTACTAAATCAACTTATGGTATAAATGACATATTGTTATATAAGAAAGTGCTATTTAGCCAAAACAGGTGTCAATAATTTACCACCAGATTACATGTGAGTGGAATTATTCTAATTGCATCATTTGGCTTAATTAACCAATCATATCGTTAATTGCACAGGTTCAGGGCCACGAACAGGCTTTCTGTGCATGATATACTGAGTGCTATATAAGATATCTATAGTAAACTTTTAAGTTAGACTTCCATTAGATTCCAGAGAGGTTCCATCTGAGGTCCTAGACAGCCGCGAGGCTGGATAGGGTTGAGAAATGGTTTTAGCTATATTGTTACCTATTATGCTCTGTATCCATACGTATTAGGCTATGCTATATAAAATGTAGAAGCGAACTGTTGCATTGTTATTCCTGGTAAGACAGACGTCTTAAGAAACTGTAAGAAGTAAATACACAACGTGAAGCAGAAGTAAAGACAGCTAGAGACAAATTCTAGACGATCACAAGGCTACAGAAATATGTAGTAAGAAAAGATGCATGGGTCGTATGTAGGATGTGGCGACCGGTTTCCTGGTCCGCTCCCCACGTCAGACAAAGACCTATGGTGCTACATTTGCGCTTTGTAGGATTTAATAAAATTTTTATGGGTTCTAGTTTTTATTTTTGTGTCACCCGTTATGATATTATCAATAGCCAGATTATGACTTTGTTTATTATCCCAAATAAAGATTTTCCATTAATTTGAAATTTATAACATTGAATGCATAATAATATAATATATGATTTTCTTTAAAAATTTATACAGCAAAACCAGCAACATGTCAGAAGGGGAACAACACTTTACGGTCATGTATGACCCTGAAACTCAACAACCAATGACAGTAACAGTAAATCAGTCACATGATGATGGCAATCAAGCAGTACAAGGAATACAATATGTGACTCAAGAGGGTGTTACTGTTCAACTTCCACATGGACAAACAGATTTAGTATGTTATTTATCAAAACGCTTATTGGCATATTGCACATTTTCTTGTTACGTAATTTTTCAAAAACAGGCTCATATATAATCAAATCACATTTGATTCTCATCTATTTCAAATGCAAGTCACTTTCCCATCACTTTGCAATAAAAAGTTACGTTGAGTTGCAAGAAATTTACGCTTGACTTAAGATTATTTGCATATAAAATAGATCATTTATAAGCATTGACATGTCAGTTTTACTGATATTTTATCTTTATAATTTATATTAAATGATAGCGTCGCCTCACATCTACATTGCTATAAGTTACCTCTATGATATTACAGACTGGCAGTGATCAACAAGCTATATTCTCCTCACAAAGCAGTACATCATTTGCTAACCTTCCAATCCAAGGAGGTCAAATTATGTCAAATGCATCCAGTTTACCTGTTGTAGTATCCGCTGGTCAAAATATTATACAGGTGAGATAACATTTATAGATAAATTAATGTGTGTGTGTATATTAACGATGATACATGTGTCAGTTCATAAACTTCTTTAAATTATCTGTCAGTAGAACCTTGTGAACACTCTAGGGAAAAGTTCATCATCCATTAGACGTTTTGCTATGGTTTTATTGATATTTTTAAAACACGTCTGACATAACATTAAAAATATAAGGTACAAGTAAAGCTATTATTTCTAGGCCTGATCTAGTAACAAAAGTTATCATCCGATCTGCCTGAAGTTCAGTATTGTCGATCCCAGAATGCATCAAATTTCAAGTTGTAGAAACTTTTGAACCTGTGAACGGCAAATAGTATCTTCCGAACTGATTCATATTCATATGTATTGTTAATATGTTCCTAAAATTTGCTGAAATTTGATTACAGAATGCAGCAATAAGTCAACCTAATAATAATGTTTTACAAACACAAGTTCAAGGTAGTAATACAAGTACTGTATCTACATCTGGTATACCACAGATGTTATTTTTAAATCAAGTTACAATAAATGGTCAAACATCATTTGTGTTGGTTGATGCCAATAATAAACCAGTACAGTTACCTCAAGGTAAATTTAGATGACATATGTATTTGTAGTCTGTTCTTTAAGAAGCATTTATTGAAATTATCATTCGATAGGATTGGAATTCATACACTGTATATTTGCATGAAACGAATAAGTCTATTTTTTTAAAAACTATTTCCAATAATTACTGCTCACTATTACTTAAAAAATCTTGTGAATGCTCTATATTACTATATGATAAAAATATCATCCGATTGATTTGAAATATTTATGTTCTTGAGATGAAGAATCTTATTGATTTCCAATAATTACTTTAAGAGTTATTTTTTTCCCATCCACGAACGATACCATTGGGAATAATGAGGATGTTTTTTCCTTATTCAATTTGAAAATGTGTTAAAGATAGATGTGTTTTTTATGTTAACGTGAAGAAGTAAATTTTAAAGATCTCCAAAACTGGTAATTACTGCACAGGTTGTTTCATTTGCTAACTGTTTAATATCTTCTAAATGCTCAAGTGACCTATAAAAGAACCACAAGGCAACCTGTGTATAGATTGCTGTGGGAGATTGGTGATTAAGGCCCTTGGGCCGCTTGATTACAATTGTATCATTTGCTCGATTAAAACGAAATAATCCTATTAGAAAAAGTTTAATGTTAATCAATTTTATATGTTTTATTGTTACACCTATATATATTTTATTTTCAGGTATACAGGTTATAAATTTACCTTCTCAACCAGTGGGTCAGCAGCTTCCTATGGTAATTGATTTATTAATGATGTCATTTTAATAATAAAAAAATACCACCTCTTTACAAATACTATTAGGTATATATAGTAGAGATGAAAGTTTACTATATAATGATGGAGAAACTTTGGATACCACATACTGCTGTGGCGGGCAATAACATACTAATATCTTTTGTAGGATAATACAGATTAGTCAGTGCAGCCCATCCCCATCCCTATGTGCATTTTCACTAAAATACCAAATTTCTCATGGCTTAAGATACCCTAAGTATGTACTCAAAATACAAAGTTTAGATTTCTCTGTTTGAATTCAAATAGATTTAAACTAGGTCCATCACTTTTCTCCGCTACTAATATAAGATGACAACGTCTCGTTATGCTCAAGCAGCATAGATCGATGAAAATATAATTTGTCATAACTTTGTAAATACTGAATGGCATTGAATCATTTTTGGACTGATATTCCCATTAGAGATTAAATTTCACAATATTGTAGTTTGCTAAATGTTTTTATTCAGCCTGGGGCAGAGTCCGGTGATGAACCATTATATGTTAATGCTAAGCAATATCATCGAATATTAAAAAGACGACAAGCAAGAGCAAAATTAGAGGCAACAGGTAGAATACCAAGGGAGAGATCGGTAAGATATCAATATGTCATTTATGTTCAGTTAAAACAGTGAAATATTCGATTCTTGAGGTCTCGGAGAAAAAAATCTTGGTCTTTAGAAATATTCAACACTGGGAGAAAAGGGGGTTGTAGATCGAGTATGTGTGTGCTTTAAATCATAAGGTCTGCCATTGACCCAAGTGGCTTGGTTATCGTCCGATCGCTTTAACTAGCTGCATTTGCAAAACCATGGAGAGATAGATCAATCGAAGGCTAGAGTCCAACAAACTTATCATTGATCTCCATTGTGGATTTTATTTAGCTCTCAAGGGAGCACTTTTGACCATCTCGTTCGATTTGAAACGTTCGTCAGGGATGCTTTCATCCAGAAAGCTTATGATACAACATAATGGCCTCAAAAAGAAATGTCTGAAAGCCCTCAACATATTGAGAGTCTTATCAAATACTGACTGGTGAGCAGACTGTAAAGTTTTGCTCGGATTATATTGAGCTTTAATAAGATCTAAACTCGATTATGGGTGTATTGTGTATGGGTCAGCCTACGAGTCTTATCATAAAGAGCTTGACACCATACACAACCATGGACCTTAGAATCAGTTTAGGAATATTTCGTACATCTCCAGTGGACAGTTTATACGTCGAGGTGCACAAGCCCTCATTGCACAACAGACGGGATAAACTGACCCTGCAGTATGCTACGAAAAATAGCCTCTTTACCAAATGATGTTTCATATAACACCATATTTAGACCCTTTCATGAGCATTTTATCATAAATTTTAATTGTATATATTTTATTTTTAATTTTACTTGCTGTGGTATTGATTTTATTTATGCATATAATACTGTGAATAATCACCATACAGTTGGCTCAATATAGCCCGGTTGGTGCTAACATGCCGTAAAACCACATTTCATTCATTCATTTCAACCTCGTGGATTTTCTCAGGGTCCTTTGGTTTCTTCCCACTGCTAAAGACGCCTACTCGCAAGAAAATTATGGAAATAATATTTCAATGTATGTTTATTCCCGAAATGACCAAGTCTGAACACCATTATCTTTTTCTGTGCAACCCCACTCTTTAAAATAGCTAAGTCTCTAACTCAATATCATCCAAAGTCTTTGACATTGAAAATACAAATTATTTGTCAATTTAAATCAACTTTGATGTTGTGATCTTACCGGGAAAAGATGGGCTTCTGATATCCAATATTTAAGACAAAATAAACATTTTATATTCGTGTACCATAATGCATTTCAGCACCATCTTGAGAGCATGCGCAATAAATACTATCGGTGTAGACTGGAATAACCAGATGCTATAGGTTGCCATTTGATTGAGATATCTGGCGTATTTTACCGAACATAACTGATTTGAAATTGGAGTAAAAACGGAAATGATTGAATGTGAATCAGTTTATATACATTCATATTACATTATTATATGCATTGCGACCCATTTGTGTCAATTTCTAGGTCCAAAATATTAGCGATTTAGCTCCTTTAAATGAGGTTATTTAATAGCATCGTTATCAATGGTAAGGCAATAGATACCATATAATTGAAAAACTTCATAATTTCCCCTAATAGAAAGTTAAACTTTATATATGATATACGATGTGTTTAATCTTTTGGTATATTTTTATAGAAATATTTATATGAATCTCGACATCGACATGCCTTAAACAGATCACGTGGACAAGGTGGTGTGTTTGTGGGACAAGGAAATGAAGGCGATCCGCAAAGTGGCCCAGTATGTTTTTTATGTCTTTACTATGTGTTTTATATATACAAAACTTGAATGGATGTTGGATTATGCATGGTTACCGGAAATCTGATCATCTGATCATATTTTCAAGCATTATCGTCTTTAATGGACAACATGATAGAAGGCTAGTAAGGGCTGAAAAGTATTATTTTAGATAAGCTTAGTACATTAAAAGATCAAAACACTGAAAATGTAGATAAGATAATCTCTTGACTTCAGTTTTTGCAAGTTTAAGTAAAAATATATTTCAAAACATTGCAGAGAAATAAAGATGGATAATGCATAGCCAGTGTATCGACTATCCAGTCAGATTATCTAGGGAACATATCACTATTAATAAACAAATTAAGATGTTACCTTTGACTTAGACATCATCTGAGTAACTGTCTGGCTATGAGACAACTTCCAGAAATTGACCTTGCTTGGTTGTCCATCAACAACTACATTCATATTTTGAGGATATTCATGCATAAATTATGTGTAAAAGTTTGTCTGACCCAGCAGGTGTACTGTTTTAAATCTAACAATTGATACTTTTTATTTTGTAGATATCCAGTGAAAATGGTGGTATTATTACCAGTAATAGCAATGGTATTACTACACATCAAGTTAGTGCATCATTACAAACAATGCCAACATTACAGCCATTAGCTTCCAGACCAACAGATATGTTAAATGCTTTAGGAACGTAAAACATATTTTTATATATATATACACAGTGTAATATATGCAGACAGTTGATATTCGACACAAACTTCCTAACTGCAGACTTCATTTTTCACAACAGATTGTTTGTTATTTGTGTGAAAGAAATTTGACTCTAGCTTACAGCTAACAGGTTTTGTGAAGATAAAACTTAATGTACTGATTCTCTGTGTGTAAAAAAAGACATTATTGAAACCTTTATAGGAAATCTGAACCTTAAATCTTTTCTGAAGCGGGAGGCCAAGTCAGTGGGTGCTACTCCTGTATGTGGAAAAGAAATGTGAAACAGTGGCTTTGTATCAATATGTTTGTCAAGTTCATTAAGCTTGTATTACAGTATAACATTTTTACACTCAATATATTATGTGTTATGATTTCATGTGTATATTGTCATTTCATCGCATATTTTTTTATTTAGTTATCAGAGACCATGCTTTGATACTGTTATTATTAAGGGTTTCTGTATATCATTTAATATATCTTGCCCTTAAAGAAACATTTTTATCTGTGCTGTATAAAACGATATAAAGTGCTTTAAATATCCATTGTTTAATGATAATGCTTCTTCATATCTTCTCAAATTAATTGTTTCTGGAATTTACAGTTATTAATATTTAGATGCTCACATTGAAATGTTTTAATCTGTCTGTCATCAACAATTTGTTGTGGATACTCGACAAGTTAAAGGTATCATCTGATGAGCCAAAGAAACCTCTACCACTTGGACATTACCTGTGGAATGCCAAGATGCTAAAAGTTATCTTTCGATTGCCTTTTAAGTTGTACAGTGTTCATGAGTAGCCAAAAGTACTTTCAGTGTTATTCCCTTTATCACTTTTAATAATTTTGTGCCCCTTCCAGTGGCTAAAGGCATTACCCATTTGATTTGAAATTTATACAGTTTATATTCATGAGATGATGAAGATGACTTATTATCAACTATTTCCCAAAAGTCAAACAACATAAGTTATCATCTGATCACTGCTACATGTTTTGGATAACAAATGTTAGAACTAGAAGCCGATCTGATAACAATATAATAGGTTGTTACTCTTGATCTGTTTTATAGAAATATGCAACAACCCTTGTGGACTGCTGAAACAACATGGGTGTACATGTATGTTTCGTTGCCTGTTAACCTACCTTATAGTGTCACAGAATAGACTGACTTACAACACTCAGTAAATCCAATGTATATGTACTGAACTAAAATGGAATAAATATGTGTATGACTAAATTGTATTTAGTATAAATCAGTGTTAAAATGAAATTTCTGCTTAACAAGTAATTAATTGTAGACTCTTTTCAACTATATTACAATGAGTTCTATATCTTTTTGGAATTTCATAGTTGTATACTCTCATTCATAATGTAGGGAAATATTTACTCTTTCTGAAAGGTTGTTTAACATTTGGCATATCTGTGATTAGAATAAATCTGCTCTTGGTTACCTGATTAGTTTCGCACATGATTCATGGTACTTTAAACTGATCCAAAAGTTTACTTCATTAAATATTCATATCAGCTGGACTGAATGCTCATCCACAATTTTATTCATACATTGATTTCACCCCGCCTTTACTGGGGATGTTTAGCTAGTGTCTGTACCCAGATGGGTCACAATTGAAAATGCATTTTTAAATAGAGATTGTTGGGTAATAATTGATAAACACTTGCAAAATCATGAGGAACAAGACTGAATAATTGCCCTGGGCTCCAAAAGTGTGTGCACTATCTACAACATAAATAATTTAGGTCCTTTAGCTACAATTTTGTTTTACAATATCGCCATCACCCCCCTATCTTTAACTGAAATATAACAAGATAAAACTAAATATTGTGAACTTGACGTTTATTAATTTGGCCATAAAGCGCTAAGCAAATATTATATATGATGTGAAATCATGGGGTTTATAAAATCCATAATAATCAGTGTACAGTTTTACAAGAATATAACAAATATAGATATTAAAGACATTATACTGTGTGATAATCTCTTAATTATATCAAACATAATATATACTAACCAGATTCAATAAACTGTTACAATCTTAAACATAATATAATTGATATGTTACTCAGCATTTCTGTACATGTATACATACTAAATCACAACCACTCTACAAATTTATATATATATATATATATATATCACTATTAACAACATCTTCAACCATCAAGTTAATCTCGTTCTCTATCATGTTAATTGAGAAAAAAAAAAACTTGACAACATGAAGACATAGGTTCTAAAGAAGATCATATTCAATTTAGATGATAAAACTATCTGAAACAGAATTCAGTTTATAATAAAAAAAGGCAAATATCCAACTTAAAAAAAAAGCCTGTAGATAAGTTGTATTCCAAATCTTGTTTGTTCTAAATATTTGATTTTATTGGTGGAAGCACAATTATAGTAACACCATTCAATCTCATCATCTTTAACATCCTATGATTCAGCATTACCTAATAAAAACATAAAATTCTAATATCTAAAAACCCAGGTTTTCTAAATTTTTTTAAATTGGTAAATTAAAAATGTTCTCAAAAAGTAAGCATGTCCATTTTCAATCATTATCAATCGATTATTCTTGAAATAAACATTCTACTACATTATTTCACTCACTCCCATGTACAGATTATAACATTTTACATTAAAGAAACACTGTTTAATCAAAGATTATAACTAATAAAAGTATATATATGTTACAGCAAAATAAGTTAACTTAGTAAACAACAAGCTGTTTGATCTCAATTTTTTGTTCACAAAAACAATCATCACCTGAAACAAGGTATTCACATCACTCATTGGTGACTTAATCTTTGGATAATTAAGGCACCCTGGTACAAAACAAAACTGTAATAACTATCCTTGAGGGATTTTTAGAAAACAAAAATGCACTCTTTGATTCTCAAAATGTTCTTTTTTTAAAAACAGAGAAAAAAGAAACTAAACAGTGGTCAAATTTTGTACAGTCACTGCAACATAGTAATAAAGATGTAAATAAACAATGGTTTTGCATTTGGTAAAAAACCTTGAAGGAGAAGGTTTTGTGTCTGTCATCCTTTTAGACCCATTACTGATTGAATGATCATATTCACAACATACAGAGTGAATAATCAGAGACACAGGAATTAAAGAGATATTTCAGTTTATGTGAAATTTTGTGACAAATGGAACCAGGGCGAAATAAGGGAAATAATTTAACCTGTATTTTCCCAAAGTGTGGTTGTGGTTATTTTGACGGAGGACGGAGCAAACAGTGGAGAAAATTTTCAGCAAAAGGCACAACAACGTCCTACGATGTGCATGTGATTTTGGCGCAAATATGCTTTATCAAAAGTGAGAAAATATATTCATAGTTAAGAAAGTGTTGACTTAAAGTTTTGGAATGTGAAGTAAACTGAAATAAAAACCTGAGAGAAAAAAAAAAAAACGAAGATGATTTTTAAGTCTTTCTGTTGTTAGTTACTAAATTGGGAGGTCATTACACCAGAGAATTTGTTAATTAAATACTTAAGTCTGCATTATCACCACTGGTGGAAGCAGACATAAACACCTGTTATAGTTATTAAAAACATTCATATTGTAGAGGAGGTGTAAGAGGGTTAAACATAGTAATAAATAATGTAGTTGTACATTTCATTCCATGCCCTTTTATATACAATATCTTACATGTAATATATACATGAACTTATTACATATTGTACATACAATATAATATATAAATACAATCTTAACATAATCTTACCCAATAATATGAGACAAACCTACTTCAGCAACTTGTGTTAATTATTACTAATCGTCATGTCAATCATTAGTTAATCAAAATAGATATATTAGTAAATCTAGGCTATATTATAACAGATTACAGGATCCTATCTACCTAATCAAGTCCTTGTTACCAGCTGTAAATAATCTAATGATGTATTAATTTGGAAGGTGCATTTTGATAACTGACATACTGATATGGGAACAATAAAAACTACGAGTGTACACTGGGGGCTGACACATTGCTGAATGCATCATCCACATGGCCATGTTATAGTGACTTCTGATAACAATCTCTATTTCCTAGTACCTATTCGAAATGTTGCATTTTAATAAACCTGTAATTGTTATTCCATAAATAGTTTTTAGAGTGTAATCTATATGATTCTAATATATTACTACATAAAAGTTTTTATCTAATCATGCAATGGGGGGGGGGGGGGCGTGAAGTGCACAACAGAGGGTCCAGGTGGCCTCCCTCAGAAAATTTCGAAAGCCTGGAAATGCCATTTCCAGTGATCTGAGACAAGAATCTGATTCTAAAAAGTGTTGTTGTACCAGATCATATCAGTGCTTATGCTGGTTTTAACACTGTGATTATAGTAATACTTTTTTAACATTTACTATGAAATATTTTTTTGTGAACACCATAGTTCTACACTTTGCTGCACTGCAACAAATTACCTTATTTATTTCTACTAAAACGATTTTATGTTTCTATGAAGAAGAAGAAGTTTAAACTGTTTAAAGGCCCTAAAACTCTGTATAACAATAATGACAAGGACTAGGTTAAGTAGAATGTAGATTTCACACAAGAGTAGCAATACTGTTTTAAATATTAATAACCTGTAACACCATTACTGTTATTGACTGGTATATAAAAACATGAACACCAGGGTTCCATCAGATCTATGTTTATTTTTTATTATTGTTAATGAGATCCCAGTGTAAATATTATAAATATATAAAAGTAAATGTTTAGCGGAATATAAAGAACTATAGAATTATGCTATAGAATCCTCAATATGATCATGGTTTATAAATAATATTTAAATACAGTGATGATAATAGTATGTTGCGTCCAGTTGTATTATTTGCTCCTAGACTAGATAAACACTTACAATTAAAATATAAGTACTGTCTTGTCTATTCAATAATCTTGTTAATTGTATTGTAAGAAGATTTCAAGGAGCTAGACCTCTTGATTTAGGTTAATTTGGTTCAGATGATGCTTCTTACTATAGAATTAAATGTATATTTCGCTTGAGTAAACCAAAGTAAATTTTGTTTATACTTGATTGAATGTAAAAATTGCTATATGTCATGATTGGTCTCATTCAGGAACATACAAATGTAGAAAGATGTTTATATCATGAAATATATACATGAAACTGAAACAAATCAACACTTTTATGCTTTGTTTAAATCAAAGAGATCATATCCTATTAATTATAATGAATCACTCTTATTTAAATTATATTCATTTCCAATCAAAACGTAAATGTATTCAAATTTACTCAATGTCACATATCTTAATAAAATTACAGAATAGTTTGGAGGTAGAAATCATGTTTTAATTAATATTTAAGTTCCCTACAAGCTTTCTGTTTATTGAAACAAAAATAAAAGATATGCTCTAAGTAAATTCTTTAATTTGTACTATTTACATATAAAAATATTTCAATTTACACCAGTCAAGATTAATAATACTTGGAATAACATTCCTCTTATGTCTCATATAGTGAGCTTATTATTACATACATATACATACATACATATTACACGTATGCAAACAAATTCTCTTTCACATGGAGATTATGCTTTACAAAAAAACTTTCTCCTTCGAAAAATTAATTCACTTCGAAAGAAAGAACAATAGGGTTTCAAATGTAATGAAAGACTTGATTGGAATGGACTTATTAACAGCAGTTCCTTCACAAAAACAGAATCAGTCAATGAGCCCAGTTATAACAATTAGCAGAGCAAGATAAAACTTAGTTTCAAGCTTAATATTCATTAGTTATATGTTTCCGACTTCTTGTTGATCTACTGTATGACTTTGGTAACGTTCCATACTTGCTGATTTGTTTTTGCTGCAAATAGAAGAAAAATGATTGAATAAAATTTCTGTTTATCTTTAGGGTAAAATTGACAAAACTTGATATTAGAGAAGAATTATTTCCTCTCAAAAAATTTCAATTAACACCAGTATTTACTTTAATAGCAGTAAAAGTACATTCTATGTTCAGTTGTATCAATATGTTTTCTTCCTCTAGCATTTTGTTTCTCATCACCTTACCCTACTTTACTCTTTATATTAATCATGCAGTAGCGATTACACACACAATACACACTAAATCAACACGGGTTAATCAGATGTGAGGGTGTTCATTAATTATTTATACTGTGGTTAACTAAAATATTAAATAGGTTATATATTATTGGCAATACAAAACAGAAAATAATCACGATATTAAATACTAAAGATACTTGGTACATTACAACACATTTTGATAAAGAATACAATTTAATATAAGATGGTTGTATTGTATCGCCAGAATTTTCAATTAGCATAAAGAAAGAAGTAATTCAGAGAAAACAAAATCAGTTGAATAATTAACAAGGAAGTATATAAAGCATTAATTACAGAAAGCTATACTGATTGATAAGGAAATAGGACATTTTTCTTAATTTGAATCAAATAATCTTTTAATTCCAAGATCAGGCACATCAAGTTGGATTGATATTTTAACTCAGATTGGTAAGGAAATAGGACATACTTCTTAGTTTGAATCAAATAATCTTTTAATTCCAAGATCAGGCACATCAAGTTGGATTGATATTTTAATACAGATGGTAGGTCTGAGCAAACTAAAGTCATTTTTTTTATTATATATTAAATAACGCATGCGATATAAAGTTTAAGTAGTCAGTAAATATATAGGAAAGAGGCACACAATAGGTGTAGCTAATTCTACTGATACAAAGAGAATTACTGTTAGTAGATGTAGAAGACTGTAATCGTCGTTGTTAATATCTCCAACTAGAGTTGTAGTTATAACGAGATAAAGAATATTCGCTGCTACTGGGTCTATACCGAGGAAGTGTGCCATAGTGATATGGCTACAGAAAGAAAGAAGAAAAGTTCATTATTTATTAGCTGTGATTTTTCAAAATCTTCCCCACAAAAAAGTGACTCAATATTTAGAAACAAATTAGACTAATGAAGATTTTCAGTAGTGCTATTTTGATTCAGCAATCATTGCCAGATCTATTTGGTTATAATGTTGATTTTAGATTATATTTGATAGAAATTAGAGTCAATTTCACTATCAATACAATGTTAATTAGATTAATATAATCAGGAAGAACAGTTCGACTTCAAATCTATTGTCTCATAGTTCATGATCTTTGTCCAAATTTCTTCTTTAGTGTTTAAAAAGAACGTCACAAAATTAAAAATAGCAGAAAAACTGCTGAATAATCCCAGCTAGCTTTAAAAAAGCAGAATCTCAAACACTCTGACTTGTAGAGCATTAGCCATGACAGCGAGCTGAGTATGGGTATTAAATAAGGCTGCAATGATATGCTAACCTCATGTTACGATATCATGGTATGGATCTCAAGATACGAAACATCGCAGTATTTTTGCATTCCAAATTTACTTAAAAAATAAACCAAATTGTTCCTATATCCGTGATTTGCTCTAGGCAAATATAATTTCAGCAGGACATATGTTTCAATGCTGGAAGCCATCTTTCCTTTGAACGACAGGGGTACATATCTCTGCATGATAGTTGAGTATCGGAACAAAAGGGACGGCTAAAAAAAAATCTGTACCGTGTTTACTGATCCATGGTACGAAATGCATTTATAGTACCCTGAATCGAACAGTGGCGCGTATACGTGGTATACCTTTTTACAATATATCGTTGCAGCCCTAGTAAGAAACACCTAGATCACACTGCCATACTTTTAATGATGATACAATGACAATTAGCTCTAATAATTAGATATATAAATGATGTACCTCTTTATGTGTATAATGTTTACGTGTAACTGGTATATATGTTACTTCTTCTGTTACAATCACATCATCATCATCCTCATCAACTTCCATCACACTTGAAAGACCTGAAATTATAACAGATTGTAAAAAAGTCATTTACTTTTCTTTTTGAATTCATTATTTCTCCTATTGCTTTAGGCCTCACAAATCAGTAATTTCTGAATTGACTACTACACCTTTTGATGAAATTAGTGATGAATGTTATTAAGAGTTATAATTTGTAAGATACATGGCGATAACATATAAAGCATTAGATACATATTTAAACAATTATTAACCTGAAGGTAAGAGTTAGGTTTTACCTACTTTTGTCATCTCTATTATAAATAGGTTTATTAGCAGTTTATTATGCTGTTTTGACACAGGCTGATCAGATACTGAACTTGTATTAAGGTGCAGTTGGAGTGGGAAAATAGTGTATTTATTGATATACAAGGCACAGCTAATAACACAGCCATCTTTAGATGTTTCGGTTGATATGGGTAAGTAGAACATAAAGTAATAACCTGTATTTGAACTTGTACTTTTCTTGAGTTTAGTTTTTTCTGATTTTCTACTCACAGTAGTTTTTACTTTTTTCTCAGTCCTGAGTTCTAATTCTTTATTGTCCTCGATTAAACGATTGTCTGAAAGAGAATGCAACCAATTCCTTATTTCCATTCTATAAACTCTATGAACAAATGAATGATGAGATTTGGGAAAATAGGGTTTTGTCATAAGTTAGATCTAATAAAGCCAAAAAAGTATATGATGTTTTATACATGTACCAAGTTGTAATTATTTTATTTTAAAATCTATTTTCACATATCTTAATACATAAAAGAGAAAGTTTGTTTTTTGTTTGCTAGAGAAAACCCAGCATTTGAACTTATAAAACAACTTAATAATTACTGCCAATTTTGTCCGATTTGACGGGATGTCTCAAGGAAAAAACTCCATTTTGAATGATAAAATTAACAATGAATGATTGTTGCATTATTGATGATGTTACAAACATGGAGATTAACTTGACATATACAACTCTGGGTACCACAACCAGTATAAATAGTATATATATATAATAGAGAAGCAGTACATAGATTACAACTGGAAAAAGAATAATTATCCATTTAATATAATTTCAATAAACATGTGTCATTTCATCTTTTATTAGTCGGTGTGTATTAAATTGAGATTTATCCCCCAAACCAAATTAAGTTGTGTCGAAGGTTATTCAGAATATGAAATTAAAGATATGAAATTCATCATAATACTGTATGCATACACTATTGTTGATTACATTCCTATCTAATATCATAAATTTAACATGTCAGTCAAAATAAACGTTAGATAAAATAATACCTAATTCATCCTCTCCTTCATCTTCATCATCATCTATATATCTAGTAACACCACTACCATCATCAGTTAAATCACTAGTACTATAACTTCTTTTTATATGATCTATTAATTTACCATGTCCCTGGTTATAAGATAATCACAAATTCATGATTTCAACAAGATATAAAATTAATAATAGTATGAATAAATGTTAAGATTAATTCATATTTTTACATCATGAAATATTCAAAATTCCCCCATCACCAGGACAGTTCTATAACAGCACCCATTCTTCAACAGTTTCTTACAATCTGCAAACAACTCTAATTTTGCAATGTTCTGTACTTGATCTGGAGATTATTTGCCAATCTTTGACAGTAGAGTCGACAATTGGACTTGCTATTATCTAATAGAAGAAGATCTGCAGATGTAGCATATGGCTGTATGAAACTGTTTCTCCTAGCAAGAAGACCTATAAAACTGCTGTCGGTATTCATCCTTTCAATATTTATAATTATGTTTAAGGAACTTACTGTTAATGCTGTTTTCATAAAAACACTTGTTGCATAGGTAATACTCTTTGATCCCAGTCTTAATAAAGTAGTATATCCCTGTTTACTGGCCTGTATTATCATTTCATCAATATCCTAAAAAACATGATTTTAATATTTTCAAAACAATATTCATGTAACATACACAATTAAAGTGCAGGCGGAAAGGAGTCAGCTACATTTCATTTCTATAACTTTGAAATTTATAAATTATTCGGCTCGACCATCCTTTTTTTTTATGTTGTGCTGAATCCTTTTTGGGTGTTTATGATGACAACAAGTGGCAGTCCATTATAACTGTACATGTATGTGTCACTACACGTAGTAAGTTGGAGGACAAGCACAACACAACACCAAGTTAGTAATTTAATAAAAAAAAAAATTGGCATCAACCAACCTTCTCTCTTTTGGCTAGTTGTGGATGAACAAATTTTTTAAACAGAAAACTAGATCCTTTTGTTATAGGAGACAGCAGCCATAGTACAAACACAATTTTTACTTCATAGTAAAATGGAAGCCTGCAACAAAAGAAAGACAGTAAGTTTTTTTATCTTGTTTAATAATATAGTATTGGTTATTGTACTAGTGTATATGTGCGTAAGACACATTTCATACTGAGTCACATTGACATACTGGGTCAAAAGGTAAATTTACATTTATAAGTAAAGATAAATATATCAAGTATGGTGATAGTACAATATTTTGATAAGTATACTAGATTACTACATTGATCTGTTGTTATTATAACTATACATTGTAGTTAGCGTTACTGAGAAACTTAGTTATTTTATACATGTATATTATAAGAGCAGAGTTAGGATTAATCTATGTTAATTAATGAGGATAAAATTCTATTCTCCACTAATAATTTACAGACAATTTAAAAATCTCCCATATTTTTTCTTTTAAACTACTAACTTTACAAATATCATTATTATTGAAATATGATTTATTTGCTAACAAAGTAATATAATAGTATGGTACCGACTTCTTTGTTTCGTTCACTATAATCTTATTATACTCAATTTCTAATGAATTATTAAATTTTTAATGAAGAAAATTGGCAGTCACTTAGAGAAATGCACTTTATACAAAACATTATGCTATACTAATTGAAATGGATGTATTTGAACTCTTGAATGAATCCAGTTCAAGCTGCATGAACTTGATATCCTAGCCTTAGAAGTTATGTGCAAGCTTGCACGTACATGCATGCAGATGCCAAGTTTAAAAAGGTTTGAAGTCTCCCAATCTGATTAAAACAAAGATCCTATTTTGTTTCGTTTTTTATAGGATCTAGTTAATGTGAGGGATAAGCCAATGAAACAGTCTACTGCAGCGAGTTCTTGGCATGCGATGCACAGAACTGTGGGTGTTCTACTAGAAACATCAATGCTGATTGGTTAATCAAATGCCTGATGTCATAGGGTCAAAGAATAAAAAAAAAAGAAACAAAATATAGATCTGTATTTTAATCAGATTTGTAGTCTCCCCTCTTCATTTGTTAGTTTCTATGTAGATACCTACATGTAGTTGTCGAGCATACAACTATTTTTCCTGATTACATGATGTTAGAACTACGTAATTGTATCAATATTGACATATCTATAAAAGGAACAAACCCATCATAACACAGATTGTCTGCGATATCACTTCGGTGAAAGCGGACATTAAATAAAGCTATTTCACACACATAACTTTAACACAGTTGCATTTTCAAGGATGAGAACTAGAAAACATGATGATCATTGATGAAGCTCTACATGTCTGGAGTAACGACATATTTTAATTATCTATAGACGGAATAGAAACTTACCATGATATGAAAACGTCAGAAAATGTTTCTACGCATAAAAATAAGGCAAACACTATCCAATACATCATCCATTTTACCTGCAAAAATAATCATTTTTTTAGGTCAGCAACACAAAATAAGAGTTATTTCCCTTACTCTACACATACATATGTATGTGTCCGTCGACACCAAGATGTGTTATCATGGGAACTAAGCATGTGTTATCATTATTTAACAATCTTATCAACTTGCAAACTGATAATCTAGTTAAAATAGATAACATCCTTAATATTAATTCTTATTTATAACCACTGAACAAAACCTTTATCTTCTGACAGTGTATTTTGTGATAGTGTATCACAATGTGTGTAATTTTTATCAGAACAGTGATAAGAAAAATAAAATTCATCATGAATTATTACTCTTTTATCTTACATGGAGGTTATATTAGTACAAGTATTTCAAAATATAAAATTAAAACAAGAATTCAATATCTAAATCAACTTTGGTTTTTATGAAACTACTATTAGGCAATTCTTTCTGATATGGCAGCAAACAATGAATTACAGTAATTTAAACAGTAGCAATGTTCTATAGCTTTCAAGAGCACTTAGTTTGTTAGGTGATATTTCACACTTCCTCTGTCAAATAATTTCACCTCATAAAAATACAATACACACAACACCACACAATACATCTAGACTAAAATCATTTTACATAAATTTATTTTTAATTTCAATTTGTAACAGACATATTGCATGTATAAAGCAGGATATAATTCTCAACAAAACCACAGAAAGGCATATGTAAAATTTGGCCAAACTTTTTTGCATGGTGAAAGAAGTTATCAACAGTAAATAAATTGAACACAGTGTATATTATTGAGTGGATCAACAGTCATCAATACTTTTGGATATTTTTACCGTAAGGTCTTTGACTGAGGTTTGTAAAGGTGTACTGGTAGATATCCCATGGATAAAAGATTTGTGATATATGATCTAATTTATTTCTGATCCATCACACAAACATCAATTAATTATAACAGTAGGACACTCATTATTAGAAATAATGATGGAAATTATCGGTGTAGGAAATTAATCAAGATATTCAGTGTTGTGGTCTATCATTATTTTTATGTGGCTTCCATCATGTCACAGGGTTCATTAATATTATCTATAGAAACGTGTAGCGTATTACATTGTAAGTCTAAATAACCAGAGTCGTGGATCTAATATATCTACACGGTACAATACTATTATATAAAAGAAGAAAGAAGAGGATTTACTAAAGTAGAAGTGTGTGGTATAAAATCAGTCATGTATTGAATTATATGATGACACTATAGTATAATAAGATAAGATCTCATCAAATATAGTGAACATGATGAAAAACATCTGTTGTCTACATCAAATAACTTATGTTTGATATATCAAAATACACGGCTTTTATACTATACAGATGAATCCTTTAAGATATCAAACTATAGGTCGTTCTTCTTTAAAAATATCCATGAATTCACTTATTGAAAACATGTCTATGTCGAGATGAATGGTATGGATATAATAAAGAAAGAAAAGAACAGTTGTATTCATACATACACAGCCTTATATATTCCTCATAACTGTTAAAAATGCAATCCACTACATATACCCAAAGAGATACACCCCTCTAAGGAAATCTTTATTTAAATATATGTAATTCTATTATATGAATATCACAATGCAAATAAATTTAGCTCTAATAAAATAAATCCTATATAAATGCGCAGATAAGGCACACCTTTATGATTTAAAGGGTGAACTAAATCTGCATGTTATGAAAATATACATAAATGTCACATGATTCATTTCATTAACACAATAGTATGAAACACATCTAGAGAAAAATACATGTACCAGACACTGGTAAAAATTAAAACATTTTGATTACGAATATGATACCATACTGTTGAAAATTCAAAATAAATTTATTTTACCAAATGTAAATCGGCTTGTCACATTTTACATAATTGAAAATAAATATTATCAGATAAATTCACTAAAATGATTTGACTATACATGTATATGTTGATATTTACTGTGTTTGTTGTACTATATGTTCCACTGTTGATTAATGAAATACATCATCTACATTTAAGGTAGTAATAACTTATCAACTCTCTAGAGCATCAGATGACAGAGATTTAAATGGATTAGACCCCCCCTCCCCCGCAAGATTTAAAAATGTAACGTTAAAATGGATAACCGAGACCTAGTCTCGTTTCTCCAGTACCCTTGCTACGATAATAAACAATCTACATGTATGTTACAGCTTCCAACATCCATAACATCGTTCAGAATAAAGTAATTTGAATGAAATTTTCAATATATTCCTTTTTCATTATCTATTTTTGAACTATTACAGCAAGAAAATAAAATGCATCTTGTTCTATAGCATCAGCCTCTTTTCGAGCTCATGTAATTATGAATATACAGTGCCTACTATTATTGTCACTATGTACTGTACCAACCAGATGAACAAACTTATTAAATTTATTACTGTTAAGTTTGTTCAAGTCCCTGTGCTTCATTTGCATTTTTTGAAAAATATCAAATTTTCCTTCATGGCTTCCATCCACGCTATATGTAAAATGTACTCAAATTGATTATTTAACATTTAATTAAGAATCAAAATATCAACTGTTACAGTAGACAATCTCCTGCCTGAATAAAAAGTGGCCCATCAAAATATTTAGCAAAGATTGTTTTGACCAATTATCATCTACATCTTCTGCATAAGATGCCAGCTATTGACACATTTCAGATTCATTATACCTTTGTAAATATTGAACAGAATTCAACCATTTTTGGACTGATATTCCTTTTCCGAGATTCCAACTTTCACAATATTGTAGTTTGCAAGGGATTTCTAAAATGACATTCAGAGACTTTCAAATTGTGATATGATTATATATTAGATATACATGTATGAACATAATTTCATGACCTGCGATATATCCTGATATTGTAAGCGGATGTTAAATTAAACTATTCACACATACACACAAACACAAGCTCTGTTTCTTTAAACTAGGAGACTGTTGAAAATAAAAGACAGTAGATTCTGTGGACTGAATCAACACCCATCCATTATATAACTCATTTAATCAATAAAATCTTCATTCAACTGCCAGTCTTCAATCATGCTACATTATACCCTAGTTAGAAAATATTCTCACCCCTTCTCATGGAAAACAGTCAGAATTTAATGAGATTGCTAAAATGTGCGCATAAGGTGGATCATTAAATCAGAATAATCAATAAGTGGCCATACAAGGAGGTCTGCAATAAATATCTTGGCATTTCAGCTTTTGGATTCTGTTTTATATGAAAAAATAAAACCATATCTGATGTAAGGATCTTTATTCTTGACTTGCTATTTTTTTGTAACATTTAATAACAGTTTATTATGACAAGAAGTCTAGAATTTATGGAAATTGAAGCTAACACTGTTGGTATTGATTTGTTTAACACAGAGTAATGTGTAGGCATGCAAACAAGAATAATGGTAGACATTTTCAGTTGTGTTCAATCTTGTATCTTTTTGTAATATTTAGTAATTATAGATACATGTATCTGTGAATTTAATATTCTGTACAAATACAGAAAGAAAATATGGATCAGATTCAAATGTCTACTGATTTTTAATTCAGTAATTCTGGAAGTTTCTAGATTTTATCATTGAATAGTACACGCTAAATTTAAATCTAAAGGAAATAAGATAAGATGTAGGCCTACATGTAAAAGAAAACTGAGAGATTTCAAATTCAGGTCACAATGTTGTATAATCAAACATGAATACTCAGACAATGTAGTATTTTGAGACAGTCCATGTATATATATCAACAAGTATTCTGTGTCTGTTTGTGCATGTACATCACAAGGGGCGTGTATTGATTTTATATTTTAACCTTTCTCTCTAGACTGTTAATTTCAGGTATGATAGCAACAGCTTTTAGCTAGGTATTGTTACATGTAATATACTGAAATAATTCTTTATGAAATATTTGTTGAATATTAAAAGCGTTTACCAATATCTAAATTACATTTCATTATTGCAAATGAAGCATCACAAGTTAATCATATTGCAGTATAATATATTCTCAGTTACATGTACATGTACATGAGTATGTTAATACAACTGACTATCGTAGATCAACCTATGTCAAACACACAAAAGGATCCCTTATCATCATTCGTTTATTATCAAATCTATGTAAATTTCAAATGATTCACAAAAACATTTAAAACTCAGTACGAAAGTTCATTTTAACCTTGGCTATCTGTTGGACGTGATTTTCTTCATTCTGTGATAGCTTCAAATGGTTTGTTTATTTTAGGTTTCAAACTCAATAACACTGCTAAGACAACACAAGTGTGATTGTATAAGTCTATCAATGTGTGGTATTGCACACAACCTTCATATAAATACCAATGTTTCTATCAACACATTATTTTTGTGGTCACAAAATTAAAAATCTGACAATAACATTTATAAATATGAATTGAATTTCAATTTACATGCCAATGTAAATGAATACAATTAGTCTGTACAGATATTGTCATCATTATACTGTTGAGGGTGTCACATGATATAGAATAAAGACATCAGATATCCAGTTTAAATAATGAATTGTTCAATGACAATGAAAACAGCTTTGACAATTGATGAAATTGCTCTAGAAAACAAGAATATATCACCATCTTATCATCAGAAATGATCAAATTGCATGAAAATGTATAATGAGATTCTGTATTAGTCCAATTATATTCCATAACATTGGTTTCCATATCCTTAATGAACATTATAAACATATTGTCTATTGCTATAATGTATATCAGATAGAGCCACATTAGCAGAGAAATTTCCAGTTGAAATCTGCATGTGATTATAAAGTAGTACATGTAGCAATATACATTTGTGTAGCAGAGATAAATTTTCAGGAATTGGGAACTGGACTATTGGAAGATAACTACCAGTAGTAAACATGTAATCATGATCGCAACTTTAACAAAATGGTGTAGCAATGGTACATGTATATGAATTATTGAAATAAAAT